TTAATAAATTTAATTGAAAACCAATCAGGTAAACAACGGTGAAATTTCCAATTGACGCGCCACTAAAAATACACACATTTGTAAAAGAGGAGAGAACGATGTTTCCTTTATCCAATGGGAACGCTGTGTGTAAATAAAAAATATTTATGTTATGCTACGTGAGCATTTTACCTGATGGACTTTCTTAAATATTTATCTCGGTTTGTTTATAGAAAATGTGTTTGAAAATGTACAGGTACAAAAATATATCGAAACTGGAATGTTCAGTTTCCAACAAATTGAAAATAAATAATTTTGAGTGCTGTATGGAATATAAATTGTCAATTATATAAAAATATGTTTTTTTCATTTGCTATCTGCGAATAAAATGATGAAATTTAATGAGTTTTACATTGATATATATGGGGGCGTATTGCTTTATTACTTCACGATAACAAAAGTAAAAAAATACTAATAATTGTTTTATTTATTTCTAGGTAATTATTGACTACTTCCCCTCTACCAAAAAAAACACAAAACGTAAGTAAAAAATAGCTTTTTACGCGCCGTTTGATCTTGATTGGATTTTCGCACCGCGTTTTTTGGAGACAAAGCCCAATTAAAATTCGCGTCGAATACAAACGTTTTTTTTTTTTAATTTGTCAATCCAGGCACGTCTATAAAAATCAATGTCGTTTTAAAATTTAAAAATAAACCTTCAGGTTTTTTAATTGGGCCAATGTTATTAGGAAATAGATATTTTGGTACAAAGTTGAAAAATGGTTATTAGATACTTTATTTTGAAAATTTAATCAAATTTAGAATGAACTTGTTTACTTTATAAAATGGATATTTCCTTTTATCTAAATTAAATTTGATTTTATGCCGTTGAACCACGAATGTAGACTGTTTTAATTAATTTAAAAAAACAAGAAATGATGATACGCTTGATGCTAATTTAAAAAAAAATATTATTTAAGAATCTTGTACGAAACAGGTGTGCCATTTAATTAAATAATTAATTAACTTTATTTATAACATTGATCAGCAAAATTATTGTCAATAAAGATATATAAAATGGTTTTAATTCCATAAACAATTCAAACAGGCAAAATAAAATGGTTTTAAGGACTTGATTATTTTCCCTGAATAACTTTGTTTTCTGTAAAAAAAATTGTTAATTACGAGCAAAAGCCTGCTTAATATTCGCGTGGGCGATTTCTAATGAATTAATTATGAAAATTGTTGGTTTTGAAGAGCGCGTCAATTAGGTGTTAAGCCTGTGAAACGTGTAAACGGAAACGTGTTACATTGTGTTTTCTTTTCATAACTTTATTAATTAAAATATCGATTTGTTTGTCCATTGAACTGTTTACATAAAAGTTTTTTTATACGTACAATTTTATCAAGTTTTGGACGTAATATATCGCAAAAACTTTGCTTTGCATTGTATTAGTAAACCTGTGAGATTTATTGTAGTAGTAATTTAAATTTTGCGGTTTCCGCGGCCACTGTTTACGAAAGTTTGGAAAGTCCAAACGCAAGCACCCAACCACAGCAATTTTTTGCAAAAAACGGTATTTTCAACATTTATAAAATTTATAATCATGTACGTGAATCGCCATCATCTCACTACTGTTGGGTTAATGTAAGTATATAAACTATCTAAAAACACCCTACTAAACAATCACAATGTGATCACATGTTATGTTAATGTATTATATGTGTTGATGTAGTCGTATATAGTGTTTTTACTACATTAATATTGTACAATTTAATTCTACTAGGTAAAAAGTATTTACAATAAATTGTTTGGTCACAATAGTAAATTGCCATCATCTAACTACTGTTTGGTGAATGTTTTAGTATATAAACTATGTAAAAACACCCTACTACACAATAACAATTTACACATGTTATGTTAATGTATGTGTTGATGACATCTCACTACTGTTTGGTTAATGTTTTAGTATATAAACTATGTAAAACACCCTACTCCATAATCACAATTTGATCCCATCTGTTAATGTATGTGTGATGTAGTCGTAAATAGTGTTTTTTACTATATTAAAATTGTACAATTTAATTCTAGTAAGTAAATAGTATTTAAAATAAATTGTTTGGTAAAAATAGTTTTTAAACCCCGGCAACATTGTTCAGCGTAATGCTTCATAGGTATAATAGTTAACATTGTAGCAACGATGACTCGTTTTTTTTGTTAACTTAACATTTTGGGATCGCTGACCGAGTGTTTCGAAACTCCTTACCTTAGAATTTACCGTAACAAAACTTTGAACCCAGCACAAAATAATAATACGTTTAATTAATTCCTTAGTTGTCTACGCGTATAGTAGTCGTTATAAGTAATCTAGGTTAGTTTGCGGAGCACTTGTTGGATTGATTGAATTGTAGATTATTTTGTTTGTTTTTTCCGTTTAGGTTTTATAAAATAAAACAATTGTTATTAGATTATAATTAACCGCTACAAACGTTTTAACACATATAATAATTGATCATAGGGTTTTTGTAAAAAAAAACCTGTGCGCGTAACTAAAAAAAATGTTACACATGCAAATGATTTATGTAAGTAGGAAAAAAGAAAATGTACAAAGAAATATATTAAAAATATTTTGGAAATTTCGAATATTTTGTCAAATTTTATGTTGTTAGTTGGAAAATTTTGATTAATCAAAAAATTTAATAAATTTTTGACATTTTCAACGTTTGCCCCGCTATTTTTTAAATTTCCGCCATTATGTGAATTTTCCATACTATTTTTTATAATTATCCTACTGTGCGGATTTTTCCTACCATTTTTTAAATTTATCCCACAATTTTTTTTATTTTTGAACTACCATGTTCTAATTTGGTCAGTTTTTAATTACCTATGAATCAATAATTTATTTTGGCGTAACGTTTATCGTTTTTTGAATTTAAAAAATTCGAAAAATACATTAAAATATAAACTGTAAAAATATTTGTTAATTTTAACCTAACATTAACCAGATTTTATGTTAATTCAGGTATTTGTTGGAAGTTGGTAGCTTATGTAAATGAAAAGAATTTCCTAAACAAAAAAGTACACATACATACATACATAAATAAACACAAAAATATCATACACTTTATTTTTGCTTAATCAGGCCATTCATAACTTTTTTAAATTCAATTTTCGCACCTTGAAGAAAAAAACCAAAAATCTTTTTGTTTCAGTTTTTATTTTTTGAGTCTTTAAAACATTTAAGCATTTTAAACTGAAAATTTGGGAAATTTGCAGGAAAAATTGACTTTTTTTTCGTCTTATCCGTAGTTAGTACCTATCCGTGGTATAAATGCCTAAAAATTCAGAAAATTGGAAAAATTTTGTACTACGGAAAAAATGTAAAAGTTAACTTTTTAAAATTTTCCATTTTTTATATTTTTTCGTTTTTTTTAAACCGCCCACACATTTCCGAAAATACGAATACATTATTAAATAATAAAGATTTATAAAATATCAAAAAAACAGAAATATATTTGAATAGAAATCTATGGAAATATATTATAAAATAAGGAAAACACAAAACCTTCTAAAAGTGCGTTAACATAAAATAATTTGTTCTACAGCAAATTTTTCTTATAAAAATTGTACCGATTTCATCAGCAGGAAATCATTAAAAGCACATTTGAGGCCTGTCATAGCAAAACCGACAATCTATGGAAATATATTATAAAATAAGGAAAACACAAAACCTTCTAAAAGTGCGTTAACATAAAATAATTTGTTCTACAGCAAATTTTTCTTATAAAAATTGTACCGATTTCATCAGCAGGAAATCATTAAAAGCACATTTGAGGCCTGTCATAGCAAAACCGACAATCTCCACTTTTGGTCAAAAATTAGGTTTTTGGCGGAGACTGTACTTCAACTAATTATCTATAAGATGATAAAGTTTATGTGCTGCTAAATCCTGCCTAAAATCCTATTTTAAAAATGACATTTAGTGCAAAGTCGACAATCTCCACTGATAGATTTGCAGCAAAGTATTCAATCTTCAATTCCACTATTAGAAATTAGTAATTTGTGTCACCTGATATTATTTGATGTTATAACGTATTTTAAAGATTTAATTTTGTGTTTTTTTACTGGTACATACTGTTAAGTTCTATTGCAGTAAATTGCACTTAAAAATATATTTAAAATGGTATATATACGTTTTATTGTTTTAAGAATTATAAAAAAAGTTATCTTGTTTATTTTGTGCTATTATACCATAATAAGACGTAGAGGTAAAGCAAGAAAAGGCTGATAATGTCAAAACATTGCAAGTAAAACATTACAGGGCAAAGTGGGAAGAAGATGAGTTGTTGTACTATAAAAACTTTTTTGCACATGGCAACCTGGTCCCAGATTTAGAAGAAACTCCAGATTTATGTGGTCCAGTTCAGAATTTTTCCACATTGATTGTATAGTTAAAATTTATAACCATTAAAGGAAAAAAATACAATTATTTTTTTGTTTATTTTTCTAAATCTCCTTAAACGTTTACAACAAAATGAGCAATCTCCAGCAATTCATATCAAAGTCAGCAATCTCCAATTTATAATTATAGATTTCACCTATACTATGCATCCTGGAGACCTTGTAGTTTGCTACTAGCAAACAACAACATTTCAATATAATATATAAAAAAAATTAAAAATCTAGAATTTAAAATACCAAAATCAATTATCTCAATTTACTCAGTTTTAGTCTAAGGGGAGATTGTTGACTTTGCTCTGACTCTGTAGTATTCAAAAAAATTAAATCTGTCTAAAGTACCAATGTTCTAATCTCTACGTTAAGAAGTTACATAAACCTTGAATCTGCAGGATTTTGTTAAAAACGTAAAAAAATAATAACCATCAAATTACCTCTTGGTCTCCGGACCTCTTCTTCACGATACTCCGGAGCGCGGGCACCGGAGTCGTCTCGATGGCGGCCGGAGTGGGGCCCGTCGACGACGCCGTGTTTTGTTTTCTCGCCAGTTATGCGCAGGCAAGCGGTCGCGCCGCATCGCCGCTGCTTTGAAATATACCTGCACCAAGACGCGTCCACGTTGATTCAAATTGTCCTTTACGTGAAATAAGTGTCGATTTTTTTTGTGAGCAGTGTATATGTCTATACTGTGCCAAGTGTCACTTAAATAAGGATATAATTTATTTATGCAGAAAGGTGTGATTTATATTATAACCCGCGGTTGAACACTGGGAAACACTAAATCAAGTCCTGGGGTTACGAAAACTTTTTGAAAAAAAAATGTTATATTGTTAAATTCCATTATTTGGCTATAGGAGGAAATTCAGGAGCGTATTCTCGTTTTTGAAATTCCCTGTATATCAAAAACCAAAAAAAATTATGGTAGAATACTTTCCTATATTTCCTTCAAAAAAATAAAAAAAAAAGCTAGACCATTAAATTCAATATCGTTTTCAGATCTGGTCCTTGTTTTCTTGTTGCCCTGTATACTTAATTGATGCTTTTTTTCTAAAATCGATAAACAAAATGAAACCGTGTTTTAAAATTGTCAAAACTTTTAACGAGTTTACATAGCTTGATTGAACTGTGTTGGGTACTCGATGTCTCCAGATTTCATGTTTATTTTCTTCAAGTAAAAACGCCAAAAATATCAAAAACTTTTGATAGTTTTCATGACTTATTTCCTAACTTAAAACGATTTAAAGCAACAGGTCACCAATTTTTAAAAAAACACCCATATCGATGTCAATGATAAACAGCTTTAAAAATGATTTAGAAAAGAATACTTTCTTTTAACAAGTATTTCACAACATTTCCCGACAAATAACCGAACAAATGCACCAAAACAAACATTTGCTCTTTGATATCATTTTGTGCAAATAAAACAATTTCTAGCTCTTTCGCGGTATAAACCTATTAATAAAGGTTATTTCATTTTAGTAGGTTTTTCTTTGAAGCCAAATGTTACCTCGCTTTGAATTATAACCGAAATGAAAAGGGTCGTTTAATGGAAGCCCCAATGTTATTAGGTTATGAAGCGGTTTCGTGTGTGCTCGGCTTTAGCTAAAGCTAACCTGATCAAATTTTGTCATACGTGTCAAATTATTTCACTTGAAAATGTTAATTTTAAAATCATAATTATAAAAAAAATATATGTATATACGATGCACTGTCGGATTTAATTATGGGAGAAACAGAACAACACTGAAAATGTAAATGCCACTTCTGTAATTTATTTTAATGTTAACACTGGATATTCATGCGGGCCCCGTTTATTTATATTCCACCATGCTGTCATGAACCCCCATTCGATGTTTTTTCTTGAATACATTATTTTTTGTTAGTCATTTATCTCAAAATATTAACAAACATATCATTGATGTTTGGTTTGTTTATTTTTTTTATAAGGTTGTCGTTGATTTTTATCAAACATGTGAAAATTAGATCATTACCACTCACACAGTGTTTCGTAAGAGCTTCCATTGTGAGAAATCGTATTATTTTGACACACAATCGCAATGTTATGTTTTGCAGAAAATGAACGATTTTATTTAAAATAATTTAATTAAATTAGAAGTAACAATGCGTATAAATTTGCAATTTATACACCAACATGTCTATCGATCAATAATGATGAAACAAATGAATGCTGTTTCGGCGAAATAATATTATTTTGCAAATTTGACGAAAAGCTCGATTTTTTTTGCGAGAAAAAGCATCAATTTTAAACGAAATAAATAATTTAAAAAATAATAAGGTCCATTAACTGAACACCTAGCATTTATTTGATAATACGTAATAAATAAAAACAAACCAATTTTAGTATTAAAAAATATATATTATAAAATGTTATATTTCTACTATTATTTGAATGCCATAAAATGCATAAAATTTAATATTATTTCATTGAAATTGTTACATTTTATACCACAATTCGACATGTATTGTAATTTTGTCCAAAAAATGTCAGAAACTTCGTTATTAATCCATCAAATTTGATGATACAATTGATGAAATGGTGTCGCATTGCTCATTTGCCAAACAAATTGACAAGCTAAAAATACGTTTTATTGTTTCTTTTATGCGCGCGTAATTTTTTCCAAGTTCCACCCCTCGACGTCATTATCCATTCGGAATTGCCCTTAGGTATCGGGAAAAATACTAAATATATAATGCGGCTTCAATTTCCTACACTTCCTGCCTTGCCACGGCAAACCATTAAGGTTTATCGTCCAAGAAAATAAATTTTTAAATTTTTTTTTTACCTTAAAGTTTTGATAAAAAAAAATTAAATTAGGTACTTCAGTTTTATTTTTATGAACTCAAAGAATACTAAAAACACGTTTGGATTTTCATAATGAAAAAAAATCTACAATCCAGACATTTCATTATATAAATAGTAAAGGGTTTCATAATTATTTTATTTAAATTGTTTTCGCGGTATTTTCGTCCCGATTGGTAAGGTCCGCTTCTCTAATTAAAAATGCAAAAACTTAATTAAAAAGTCACAAAGAATTTGCTTAATTAACGGGAAAGGCTGGAAACTGGAGGAGATGGCACGATAATGAACTTCCGTGTATAATAAAAAAACGTCCCTAACAAAACAGCGTTAATTTAGACCAGATTTATTGGAGGGAGGGAATTGATTTTTACCTTGATTTTTCACCGAAAGAAAATTATTATTTTACCTTGATTTGGACAAATTTTTAGTTGACAATTAATACACAATTTAATAAATATTGAAAATGTATATTACACCTCGTTAAAGATTAAAGCAAACATACACGAAATTTCCATTTTAAGTAAACTGTTTGATGTAAAATAAATTAAATGCAATTTAGTTTTAATATATTCTAATTAAATACGTACATGTAGATTATTAAGGGATTTGTCATATATAACTAATCTTTATTCATAAAAATTTTATTATGAAATTTTTCACATATGCAGTTTCCAATATAGAGAACTCTCTAAAAATGAATTAGTCAAAAATAACTAATTTAATAGTTAATAGTGGCTGCTTTTTCACTTGTGCCATGGTTAACCATCGAATACCATGGTATCCCAAAATTTAATAGCCAATTCTTATGTAAAATTGTACTCTGAATCCGAAAATACCGTCAAAAATTATGAAAGTGGAGCAGTTTTTGAGATATACCCAATTCCATATTAAATGGAAAATTTACTATATCTCAAAAACTGTTCTACTTTTTTAACTTTTGAAGACATTTTCGGATTCAGGGTACAATTTTACATAAGGATTGGCTATTAAATTTTGGGATACCATGGTTTTCGATGGTTAACCATGGCACAAGTGAAAAAGCAGCCACTATTAACTATTAAATTAGTTATTTTTGACTAATTCATTTTTAGAGAGAACTTTACACCAAAAGCAAATATTGAATCAGAGCAACGTTTGTAGTTGTGACAGTTTCCAAGCAAACGTCGCACGCTGCTAAAAATTCTAACTTTTTAACTGTGTAAGTAAGACGTATAGTTTACTAAATTTTATTTAAAAAAATAAAGGTTTTATTTTTTTAATGCGGTCTTAGAATCTTCTTAGAAGTCAATACGTATAGAATCTTCAATGAAGTCAGTACTAACGAAGAACAAAATATAGACTACGATTAGGAAAGATAGACCCCTACAGCATATTAAAAAAATAAATGAATTTACTAGGTTGTTTAAATCATTGTACTTTAAGAGTTCATAAAATTAAAACAGAAGTAAGATTTTAACCATCATAACAAATTGCCTTCAAAAATAAAAACTTTTTGAAAATTTATTTCTTCGCCGATAAACCATAGTGCGACGTGTAATGATCCACTCTAGTGAGCTTTGTAAATGTTTAATCAGTCAAAATATCATTTACTATATTAGTTAATTGTTTATTGAACATGCATTATACAAAGCAATACAATGGAAACTGGTTTGGAAGTAAAACAATATTTAAAAAAAAACTCTGCGAAATTAGTTTGTTTTTATGCGAGAATCTCGCCCAAATTATAAAAGAGGGATTTATATATAGAACCTCACCTGAGATTTCGCTTCAAGACTAATGCTACGTGGTTAAGTTGGGACCCCCATAAATTTCACGAAGTGTTACCGACTGATTTATTTGTTCTAGTGTAATTTCCCCCGAACTGTGATAGAGCGACATCCATAACTGAACATTATTAAAAAAAAAACGCTTTTCCTGTGTAACTTGTATTAGTGCCTTTACCGAACCAAAAAAGAGCTTAGTGTGATAATTAAGGACCAAATTGAACAGCCTTACTTCTACTGTTTATTATTACATATCTTCCTTCTACTACCCATCTCGACTGACTTTTACGTTTTCCTTCAATATTTGTGATATGAGTGTCGACGATACTTGTTAAAAACGTCGACCGCAACAAGCAGAATGGTGGTGCTACAAGACAGCGGGTCCCCGTTACAGGCCCCGGCGGCCCTGCTGGACCCCCTCGACTACAGGCAAACTCCCACGTGTCTCAAGATGATGACCAAACGTTACATCAACATACACCAGTGGCTCGGACCCGTCTGTCCCAAAGAACTGAAAGCACAAATTGTAAGTTTACATTGAGGGTTTATATACGCAACTATGTAGCTAACAGTGGTGAGATGTTATGCCCCAAAGAACTGAAAGCACAAATTGTAAGTTTACTTTGAGGGTTTATATACGAAAATATATAGCTAACAGTAGTGAGATGTTATATTAGCTTTTTATGTCTCAAAGAACTGAAAGCACAAATTGGAAGTTTTACATTGGGGGTTTATGTACACCACTATGTAGCAAACAGTGGCGAGATTTTATGTTAGCTTATGATGTCTAAAGGAACTGAAAGCACAAATTGTAAGTTTACTTGGGGAGTTTATATACAAAACTATGTAGCAAACACTGGTGAGATGTTATGTTTAGGATGCAGTTTATATTTAAAGGATTATAAATTTATTTCCTGTTGGGCAAGTTATAACTTCGAAATTGCTTTTAGAAATCCTAGTTGGTAAAGTAGACGTTGTTTTAGTTTTGTTGTTGTGGCTCTACCGGTTATGCGGTGTTAAATATTTATAACAGGTGGGAATGAGATTTCCGAACGGGGTTCTTAAGTTTGACCTAGGTAAAATATTAATGTTTAAGATTTAATTTTACATAAATATAATAAATTTTACTGTTATATGGAAAATCTTGGTTTCCACTTCCGTACTCGGAACAGATAAAACAAACTTTTGATAATTTCTGCGGTTTTAAATGAAACACTTTGTGTTACTTTTTAAATCTTTTTAACGCTTTCAAATACAACTTTGTAGATTATGCAAAAATCAACTTTACTGCCGACTCGTAAACATCATTTGACAAAGAAAGGAAAAGATAAAAAAAAAATAATAGCGGGGAAAATGTGAAGCTTCCCATCAAAATAAATAGGTCAGAACTGTGACGCCTGGCTCTTTCCTATAACGAACGCTTCGCAATGCAATATAATAAAACGTCTTCTTCCCCTAGCCAAACCAAAAGGGGGGAAATATCGTCGGGTTCATCATATGTCGTCGCAAATGTCATTTTAAAAGGTCGAAACTCAATTTTCTCCAACAATGAACGTACGTATATTTGCGTATATGCGAATTTAATAGACGGTTATTAATTTTAGGAGCTTCCTTTCCTACATCGAGTCGTATTAAAGGGATTTACATTTAGAGTTTAGTCAAGTCTTGCATGATTGGTTTGAGTATGAGTATAAGAACGTATGGCTGGTTCCATCAGCATCGCCTTACACTGATCTCCCAAAGTTTTTTCCATCTTTCAGTTCTCATAAGTATCTCTATTAGGAGGTCCCGCAATTTTGTCGCCGGGCTGGGCCATACGCCCGATTTGGGCTAGGACAAGGAGGGAAAACATGTTGGTTTATGGGGGACATTAGACTGATCCAAAACTAAGTACAATCCGGAATCCCCCTCAACCAGGGATTTAATAATAAACCCATTCAATTTTGATTTTTGGGGCTTGGTTGGTTAGTCCGCTGCTATGACCCAACCCAGGCTATCCTTAAAATGTTGCATGATTGGTTTTATATATTTATTAATTTCACTTTTTACTTTTATAGAAAATGATCCCTACAGAATAATAATAAATATAACCAACAAAAGAACATTGTAGAGACGGTAAAACTTGTATACAATTTTGTTTTTCCGCAAAAAACTCATTTATCATCGAGATAATTTTCTTTGGCAAAGTGAATGCTCTCTAAAAATGAAATAGTCAAAATTCTACTATTTGAATTAGTAAAAGCATTTTTTACTAATAAAATAGTCGTTTTCACTTTTAAATAGTTATTTTTTACTATGTAAATAGTTAAAGTTTGACTAATTTAAGATTAGTCACCATATTTGACTATTTCTGACAGTTAAAAGTAACTAATTTCTTTAGTCGTTTACGGCCAACAACAAAGTATTATTTGAATTAAATGCATATACCTCTCCATGGTTAAATGACCCATAAAACAAATAAAGATGCAAAAAGTTTAGCTCAAAATAGCAAGACAAATAATATATTAAACTTTAAAATATTATGAACCATATTTATTGACAAATAAAACTAATTTTTATAAGAGCGGCTGACAGCCGAATGTGTTAAGACGTTAGCTTGACAAACTTGTCAAGTGACAGACCTGAGTTCAATCCCAGGCTGGGTCAAAACTTTTTTTAAATTTAAATTTACTAATTTGACTATTTCATTCAGTGGAATTTTACTAATTATTAGTGACTGCTTTTTCACTATGACAATTAGTCAAATATGACTTATAATTAGTTATTTTTGACTAATTCATTTTAAGAGAGTGCGCAATTAGAGCCAAAGATAAGACTACGGGCAGTCTTGGTTTTCCTAGAGTAGTAATAGTTAGATGACTTTCTTCCTACAATTACCGTCTTTATTATACCTTCGAGGAATAAATTGTAATTTTAATGTTTTACCGTGCTATTTCGTGAGGCAAAAACTTCCGTCTAATCACTTTTATTAAGTAGGTTTAAAAGTTCGCTACCAACTAATGATACTTGAATGAGGCCAGATTGCATGTAATTAGTGAGTTTCTTGTGCAAAATGAGAAATTAGTTGTTTATTTTATTTACTGTATTTTTTATGTCGGGTAGGTAAGATTAAGGAAACAAGATATTTGTAAAAGTAAATATATAGGGTGTCCCAAAATCACCATTGTTTCCAAGTTAAAGTGTGATGATTTTTCAATTCTTAAGACATTTCTGGAATAATAATTGTTTGGATACAATGATAACATAGAAAATACAGCTTGTCCTTTTAAGAAACTCTCATCAGTATACAAAGTAATTTATATTCAAAGAATGTTGCAAGAATCCTCAATCATACATGAAGGGTGAAAAGGGATAAAGAATGAATAATGTCAGTGGAAAATGCAATTAATTACCCCTACTTCCTGATACTGCAGGATTTATATGTTTGTTTTTCAAGTGATCTAGTTTAAAGCTAAACTTATTCGCCACTAATTTTCTCCTACTATATTACGTATTTATATACATATACATATAAAAAAAGGTATCCCCTTGTGAGGTTAAAAACCACAACACATATTTTCCGTGCTAGGAATACAAATGGATTGTTTAGAGCGCTGGATATATCCTTCATGCATTATACAAGTGGCATTGATTTTCCCGGGAAGCCTAAATAAATAGGGACCACATAAGCCCGGAATTCAATAATAAAAAAAAAGGAAAACATAAAGGCCGAATTTTTGCCTAATAAAATTTTAATGACACACGGAGAAATATCGTGGTATCAATATAAATTTTATTGGGACCAATTGATTTTTTATTGATGTAACGAAGTGTAATTGAACAGCTTGACATTAAATGTTTCTCAAAAACATTAATTAAATTTTTATACGCACAACAATAAATGTTATATAATAAAGCATTCTTTATTATTATGTTTTTATGAGTATAATGGAATATTTATATATACAGGGCTTTTAATTAAATACTAGCCACTAGTAGGGGAAATTTGTATGTTCAAAATGTTCTCAGTTCTTTTGCTATACATTTTGGAATTTTTCTACAACACTTGACTTTGATTTAATTTTCATGTGCTTAAAGTAGTAAGGCTGACTGAAATTGTGGCAAACTTTGAGATAAACTACCACTACTGTATACCGCATAATCTAAAAGTTTTAATTGGGCCGAAATCTGTTTATCCAAAAGCAAGGATTCGTTAATCCATCAGTCAATGTCTATCTTTATTAGGTGATTATTAAATTAAAATTTAAATTTCACGGTTTTGATTGTTTCGAATGAAGTAATTTTTTTTGGAGCACAAAAAGTTGGACTGATAAAATGCTGCATGGTTGTAATGAAATTAGCAGGAATCAATATTCAATATTTCTTAACTGAAAAATGTAATAATAAAAAACACGAAGATCAAATTGATCAACTTGAAGATGTGGTTCTATTACTGAAGGATCTAAAAACTTGAATAAAAATCGAAAACAAGTATGTAATGTAATGTAATGTGCATTATGAATTTGTATGCTTCATCGGCAAATACTAGTTTGCTGCCGGTGAAATGAAAAGGTCAGTACAAACGTGTTTGTTTTAAACAACCCTCTGAATATGCATATCAATCTATATACACGTATGTAACTATAGTAATACATTTATGATGTCTGCATTAACAATTAGGTCCATTATATTGCACAAGTCCTAAATACACATAATAGACTATCGGCCAATTAATTATTGGGCAGTGTTAATTGGTATCTCAAAGCTCAATTTGCTCATTTGCTTACTACTGTACTGCTGTATTTTTTGTATACACAAAACTAATTCCAACGATAAAATCTGTTAACCAAATTTAATTTGAATCCTCTTTTTTATTTGCAATATCCTGTTTTCTGTGAAGAAGAAAAACTTCGCATTCGCATTAATTATAAACGTTTTGCGTCTCGATAAAAATAAAGCACTAGGGAGAGTAAAAAGGACCTTAAAAGGATTTTTATTTTAAACGGCAGTGCAAATGAATGAACTCCTGTTTAATAAACGAGATTTTTTGTGATCCTGCTTTTTATTTCCACGGAGAAAGATTAAACGGCAAATATTTGATGAAAGCAATTTATTAACATTTTTGAGAAAAATAAGTAGGTATGTATACCTCTCAGCATATGAAAATAATCAAAGTGAATTAGCAGTAAAAATTATTAATTTATATTTAATAACATTGCATAAATCACAATCTCGAATTTCCGCTGACTTTTCTCCACTTTGTTTGCCATAAATTTAGCAAAGGCATGCAAATGTAACGAACAAATTTTACATATTCATGTCGAAGATACCGAGAATCGAATTTTCGTTCGTTTTTTAGAAAATAATAAAGGTACCTAACTCAACGCGAGTGTGTAGGCTCTCGAGATAGTTTCACAAATCGCGTTTCCCAATTAAGTTGGGAAAACGTCATGGCCGTGTAAGTCGAAATTTATGGCTAGACTGCTAATACATTCAGCCGACTATCTTTTTAGCTTTCCCTTAGAATATGCGTCTAAATATGCACTA